GCCCTGCCGAAGCTCGGGCGCGGGGCCCGCCCGCCTCACCGCCGGCCCCGGTCTGTCGGGCCGTGCTGCTCCAGCCCTTCCCGGGCCGCCCTGGGACGGGCTTTTACCTTGGTCGGATCCCGCCAGGGCGCGCACTTGGATCTCGCAGCCCCCAGCGGTGCCGTCGGAGGCGCAGCCGCGGGCCCCCAGGTGCCCCCAGGGGCACGGGAGACGCAGGGCGCGCAGCATCGGGGCGCAGGCCGGGAAGGCGCGGAGCGGCCCCATCCTGGCCTCGGCTGGAAAGTTAGTTCCGGCGGCGGGCGAGGCCTGGAAAACTGCTCCACCTACGGGCGGAGAGGCCGGCGCAGCTGTCTGCGTCCCTTGGAGCCCCGCGGCCCAGCCGGGAAGTCCCGCCACTCCACGGGATTTGGGACTAGGCTTTCAACCTCTCCAAGAATTAATGTTTTAATCTGAAAAGCAGAGAGTGTAACCGTGACTGCCTTGTGGTGCGCGGTGGTGATGTGAGGATCGAACGGGGTGTGTGAACCTTGCTCACATATGCTCAGTAAATGTCTTTTCAATTAAAATATGGCATTTCAGGCTGGGCGTAGTGGCGCACACCTGTAATCCCAGAAAGGGAGGCTGAGGCAGGAGGTTCGCTGCGAGTTCGAGGCCAGCCTGGGCTACAAAGTGAGTTTAAGGCCAGCCTGAGCTGCATAGCGAAACTGTCTCAGACAAAAAAGGCTGGGCTTGGTGGCACAAGCCTGTAGTCCCAGCGTGCTGAGGCAGGAGGGGGTCATTGTGAGTTCGAGGCCAGCCTGGGCTACATTAGCTAGTTCAAGAACAGCCTGAACTACACAAGACGCTGTCTAAGAAAAAAAAGACAAAAAGTAAAATAAGGGCCGGGAATATAGCTCAGGGGAATCGCACCTGCCTGCCAAGCACAAGGTCCCGAATTCGATTCCTGGTACCAAATAACAAACAAATAAAAAAAGTAAAATAAAACACAGCATTTTGTTAGTCCCTCGGGCATTGCCTTCCTTCACTGACCCTTCTGTCTCACCTCCATACGTGTCTCAAACAGAACGGGAGGCGAGGCAGTGAGGTTAGCGCCTCACCTTCTGCTAAATGTAATGCTTATCCCAGTGTAATGCTCAATAAATTGCCCCACAAAAATATGTGTGAATGTGGATTGCTAGTTTCTGCTCCGCTCTGGGCGTCCACCCTGCCTTTGCAGAGGTCTTATTTGGTTCATTCCGCGTGGACAGTTCAAGAGTATCCATGGATGCGCTTGCTGATCCCCAGATTCTCACCTTTTTTGAAGACATCAAAGCACTAACGGCTCTGGCCCTCGACTTATGGCTAAACTGGTAAATTCTCCCTTTCAATTCACTAGTGTGTAGGGTCTCTTTGTTACTGATTAACACAACCTCTTTGACAAAAATAGGACCCCTGCAGCCAGGAGATTTGGGCTGCAAGTACAGGAAAGCCATCTGGACCAGCTTGAGTAAGACAGCTTGTTCCAAGGCACGATAACGTGGGGAGTGGGACTGGCTTAGTGTGGGAAGCTGTAACAAACACAGTGTGGGCAGCTTGCCATGGTGGTGGATGCCTTTAATCTCAGCCTCAAGTGGCAGTGAGCAGTGGGACAGAGATCAGGCTCTTCTCTTGCATGCTTTTCATCTGTGTCTTTGTCTTCTTTGCCTTTGTTTCTGTCTCTCCCCGCCTCAATTCCTGCACTGGAGATTGAACCCAAGTCCTTTACACTGAACTACATCCCCAGCAAGTTTTTACTTTGAGACAGGGTCTCACTACATCATTAAATTTCCCAGGATGGGCTGGAACTTTGGACCCTCCTGCCTCAGCGTCCCAAGAGTGCTGTGATCACAGGTGTTTAGTCTGTCTCTGATAAGGGCACTAATTCCATTCTTGAGGGCTCGGCTTTCATGAGTTAATCAGCTCCTGAAGCCCTCACCTAATAACATAACAGGCAGTAGGCTTCAGCATATGAGCTGGGTGGACTGGGAGCAGACATTTTGTCCATGGCAGAAACTAGATGCCTGGGAGCAGGGCCAACCTGGAGGGCTCTCTTCTGTGGGCTCCTTTGGTTCTGAAGCTTCTATGTGGCTGAGCTAACACAGTTGGGCCAACCCTGCTCACCCCCTGCATGGCTTTTTAGTTTAAGTATTTATTACCATGAAGTGACACAGTTGGGTCTATGTTCACATTGGAGGGGAGATTCTCACAGGCCTCCATTGCCTGGCACCCTAGTCTCTCCTGAGCTCTGATGAAGGGGCTGCACACGGTCAAATCTGGTCCCCCGGCCCTGCAAGGAGTGTTCTCTTGGGGAAGAGACAGAAGGAGCCAAGGCTCAGCCTGCCCGCATTGGTGTGGAGCCAGTTGAGGAAGGAAAAAGGTTTTTTTGGAAGGTGATGAGTTTGATGCTTAACTTCTCAGAGGAAATGGCTTGTGAGAATTCATATGTATCTAGGAATCTGTCTATTTCTGCTGAATTTGCCATCTTATTAGAGTAAAGGTTCTTGAAGGAGGTGTTGATGATCTTCTGGAGTTCTGAAGGATCCATTGTGATTTCACCCTTTTCATTCCTAATTGCATGAATTTGAGTCTTTTGGTTGGCTAAGCGTTTGTCAATTTTATTTAATCTTTCAAAGAACCAACTCTTTGATTCTTTTTTTTTTTTTTTTTGGTACTGTTTTCTTAGTCTCCATGGCCTTAAGTTCTGCTCTGATCTTTATAATTTCCTCCCTCATATAACCTCTCAGTTTGACATGTTCTTTTTCTAAGTTTGAGGTTCAATATTAGGTTGTTTCGTTGAACTCATTCTGTTTTCCCAATGTGAGAGTTCACTGCTATTAATTTCCCTTGTAGGACTGCTTTCATTGTGTCCCATAAGTTCCAGTATGTTGTACTGGCATTATCATTTAATTGTAAATACTGTTTAATTTCTAATTTAATTTCATCTGTAACCCATTGGTTGTTCAGTAGGGTGTTATTTAATTTCTGTATGTTTAGGGAATTTTTGTGATTTCTTTGGCCATTGATTTCCAATTTCATTGCACTATGGTCAGATAATATGCATGGGATAATTTCAGTGTTCTATGAGCTAGTATGTGGTCCATTTTGAAGACTTTCCCATTCCCTGCTGAGAAAAATGTGTATTCTGCTACTGTGGGTGGAACACTCTGACAACATCTACTGTGTTGGGTTGGGGCTTATTTTGCAAGGGGAACAGTATAATACAGGACACATACTTCATATGATTATTTATAATAGTCACCCAAAGAACAGTATACAAAAGAGTGCAGGAAATCTGT